TAATTGCTATAACTTTACGAAAATAATTGATAAAAACAAAGACAACTCAAAGACTGCGACCAATAGTGTGACCAAAAACTTAAGGAAAAGGAAAGCAAATGTTTTGACTAATAATAACAGCAATAATCATAAGATCGAAACGAAGAGTCCATTGGAGACGAAGACACCAGCGGTGGAGAGGAAGAGACGGAAGCGATGGGTCTCGACGTTAGCCGAAGAGAACAGAGAGTTGATTGTGAATGTACTGATTGTGAAGACTATCAATAGATTTACAAATCGTTGCTCAGATCGTATGCTATTTGACAAATAATGTGTTGAAATTGTGTCTAAAATTATCACTTTATTTACAGGTTTTCAATTGAAAAGTTTAATACCGTTTGACATCCGAAACAGGAATCTGTTATCGCCGGAGAACTGTTGCGCGTATTATACGGCCGCCACCGCCGCCCATAATCTTAAGCAAAGGGGTTTCGGTGACCGCCTATACCTTAATCGCGATAAGAAAAGTGAGGATCCATTGGATGAGTTGGCGATCGCGCCCTGGAATACAACCGAAGCCTATATCGCATCAATCAATCAGAAAAAATATTTGACAGTTTGCGAGTACAACGAAGACGGCTCTCTCCTCTTTGTCAATCAGTCCTTCAAAGATATTCGAGTACTTAAATGATCAACAATTGGGTTATGTTTTACTTATCAACAAATGTTTTATTTTAGGATCAAATGCCAACCTTCAGGAAGTGCTTCCCAATGTCTGATCGATCGCTCAAACTATTAACACTGAAAAGAGCTCACGAATGGCTAACTACCTATGGATTGGCCACTGAAAGGGTACTTTTTTTTATATTTGCATGAATTGCAAGTAATTAATTGATTACAATTTTAGGTGAAGAAACTGAAGAATGTCTCGGAATGCGGTTCAATGATTAAGAAACTGTCCGATAAATTGCGAGCCATAGGTATGCGTTTGTATTGGAGTCGAGTTCTGTTGAACTAAACAATCATTTCTTGTAGGCGTGAGGCAAGGGATGACCAAAACGGCGTCCGCTGAACAGCACTATAAGATAGAGTGTCAGAAAGTATTTGATTTACACACCAGTTATTACTCTTCCAACGATACGTACAGTACGGATGAGGAGGAAGACGAAGAGGAGGACGACAGTGACTCTGAGTTCGAGGACATGGGCCGAGACT